AAACACTCCCCCTTCCGCTGGACGATGAGAAATGAAGGGCTGTGATTTGCGGGCGTAGAGTAGTTAAAATAGAGCGCGTAGCATGTGAATATTGCCCATTTCCCTCTTTTCCCTTAAATAATTGGCCCCAATCTCTGCATGTGTTCACGTGTCTGTGTCATCCAGTTGCCGTTAATTACACCATCATGCCCTCTCTTCTGCCTTCGCAATTGCATAGGATTCTAGATGGGCCCCACCCCCTTCTTCCTCTGCATACTAAAATTTAAAAAACTATATATCACCTTCACTTCCCCAGTCGCACTACTGGCGCGTGTCCGTCGTATGCATTCCCACCACATACCTTCAATTCTACCAATCTCGCGAAGAAAAAAGAGAGAATTATAGGTTAATTCTCTAAATTTTTATTGAGAGTATCTACTAGGTTAACTTTAAGATACACTGCTGACTTGAGTATATCTAACTGATTGTGGTAAATATTTTGAGTTCAAATTCTCACACTCATATGTTCTATTTAAAAAAAATGTTAAATAGATCTTTGATCGATTATATACAAAATTGAAAGTTTATGAACATATTACACACATAATTCAGATTTATTCGATACTTTTAAGGTTTAAACTTATTAGACACAAAATTAAAAGTTTAGGCTCCGTTTGATAACCATTTTAATTTTTGGTTTTTGGTTTTCTGTTTTTGAAAAACAAAAACCAATAATCGTTTTTTGTTTTAAAAAAAAGAAAACCAAAACATCTTTGGTAAACATTTTTAGTTGTTTGTTTTTAAAAAGTTAGAAAATTGAAAATACATATTAGAAAGAAAAGATTTTATGTAGAGTAGAGATGATAATGGTGTGGGTGCGAGTGAGGATTCTCTCCCTCATTCTCATGCTCGTGAAAATTTTTAGTCTCCGTCTCCACCTCGTTCTTGGGTCTGAGAGATGTTCTCAAGAAAAGTTATCGGTTTTATAATTGTTTTTAATTATTTTTATAATTTAAGTATAAAAAATGTGTAATAAATATATTTTAATTATTTAAAGAATGGAATCGGGGACGAGGACAGGGTCGGGACATGCATTTTCTATTTTTGGGACCCGACTCTGCATAAATTTTTTTGTAGAGACATGAAAATACTAGAGAGACGTAAATAAACTTTTGGAAGCTAAATTTTAGAGAGATAAATAAAAATATTTAGAAAAAATAGTGAAAGAAAAAATAAAGACAAGAAGAGAAAATTTTTAGAGGAAAAAAAAAGTCAGAGGAAAAGATATGTTAAAGAAAAAAATTATAAAGAAAGAGAAAAATTACCGTGGATCAAATTTAGAGATAAAAACAATATTCAAAATATAATTTTTAGAGAAAATAAATAAATACAAAGATAAATAAAAGTTCGAGTGAAAGAAAATTGAACGATAAAATAAAATATCATTTTCAAAGGAAAAATAGATTACGAAGAGAAAGAAAAATTATAAAAGATGAAATTTTAGAGAGAAAAAAGTTAGGAAAAATATTAAATTTTGAGAGAGATCCATGAAATTGGCCCGTTAGAAAAAAACAAAAATACATAAAAATTTGGAGGGAAACAAATAACAATAAATATTTCAAATATGAAAATTTTAGAGAGAGAAAAATAAAGTTTGTAAAGAGAAATTTAGAAATAAAAAAATTTTAGAGTGAAAAATAAATTTTTTAGAGATAAATATGAGAAAAAAAAAGTTGAATATTAAAAGAAAAAAATGAGATTTTGAAAAATAAAAACCTCTCTTTTGAAAAGTACTTTTTTTTTTATTTTTGAAATTTACCTAGAATTTCAATTTCAAAATGGTTTTTGAAAAACAACAAACAGAAAATTGAATTGTTTATCGAATAAGCATGTTTTTGAAAAACTAAAAACCAAAAACCAAAAATAAAAAACCAAAAATGAAACGGTTCATAAAAATTGAATTGTTTCATAATACATTCAGTTTTTTTTCTTTTTTTTTTATATGATTTTTAAATCCTTTATTTCAAAAATAAAAAAAAAAATAATTTTTTTAAAACATATTTATGTTTTTTAAAATCTAATTTTTCTTCTGATTTCGAATGCTCATTCTTTCTCTTTTTGACATATTCCTCTCTTACACATTATTTTTCCACTCTAAAATTTTTTTCCTACGCAAATTTTTATATCTAAAAAATTCAATTCTCTTAAAAAATTTTCATATCTTAGGTATTTACTATTATTCTCTTTTTTTTTTTCAAAATTTTGATCTCTATCTAATATGTCAATCTAATTTTGGCCATAAAATTTTAACAAAAAAAATGTCAAAATGAAGAAAATCTAGTTAGGATTTTGAAAAACTTTCTGAGATCCTTATCGATTAGCTCTAATTAAATAATACTAATACGTCTTAACAAATTATTTTTTAGAGAGAATTTGGTATCGTGTCATTATTATAGACTTGTAGTAATTATCGTTAAAGAAAAAGGAAAAGAAAACCTCAACAAAAAGCTGAAGCCTTATAAATTTTGATTGGTTGAAAATCATCTAAAAGAAAATAGTCTATATTCTTGCTTCATTATCAAAATAAAAATTCAATTCAAACCAAAATATATATATATATATATATAAATAAATTCAACAATTAAATGTGCAGGTGATCGATTATCGACTTTTGAAATAATAATATAGGTGTCTTATGTACTAAATTATTGTCTGTATTTTCTTAGTACAAGGATAAAGGATTTGAATCTATATCCTCTAAGGATATATACTTTAACCAATTGAGTTGCGCTCAAATTTGTTACCATAAAGAATTATATTAATAATATTTATTTAATTGTTAAATATAATATAGATAAATTCACAAAATTTATCATAGTACATATAAGCACTCATACTTCGAGTAAATGGTTACATAAAAAACAATCAACAACTTAAAGAAATACGTGTTTAATTAAATATGGTTGATTTGAATTTTTTTCCCACTTACATAAGAAACTGTACTGAAATTTAATGAGAGAAACTAAGATGTGGTGGTAATAAATGGATCAAATTTGGTAGGACCAAAATCATATATATTGTTTATATAAGTAGCTTCATGTCAACTTCAAATTTTGTGTGTCGGAGCTCTGCCCCAACTTTTTGTTGTACAAAAAAAAATGAACACCTTCATTTAACAAAATATTAGTAAAAATATATTTTTCTAAATCTAAATTAGAAATACAATATTTGTTTTCTTTTAACAAATATTTATAAATAAAGCCATTGCTAAAAACCTACCATATATTTAACTACTTATTCTGATTTTTGCTATATTCACACTCTTTATTTTAGTTTCTATTTTTATAGTATTTTATCTGCATCGTGGTAGATTTGTAGCTACATTGAATGAAAATATATAGTATCAAAAATGTGGGATGATGATTTGAAACCTTGGACGTATAATGAAAGTTACTCGTATTTTAATTAGTTGAGCTATATTCAAATTAACTATATAATTAATGAGAGTTGTTACTTTTTGTAAGTAGTTAAATACAAATACGGAAGGTAGGAATAATTGAAGCCTTCAACACATATCTAACCTCTTAACCAATTGAATTATGTACATTTTTAACCATTTTTTTAGAGTATCTTATGGTAATAATAAGTATTTTAACGGCCAACTAGAATATAGTTCAATCGGTTAAAAACACATTTATCCAACCATAAGATTGAGAATCACCTTCACATGTTATACTAAAAAAATGTAACTTAACGCCCTCTTTACTCCATGGGAATCAGACCCACCTCAAAAAGGTGTAATCCTATTATTTCTCTTTTACAATTTCATCAATCTCATAGTATTACTTATTCCATGGCCTCACACTCTTATTATAATTACTTTACAACTTTTACTCTTTCTCTCTTATCTATCTATCTATAGCTTTTTAATTAATTGTTTCACTTTTATTATTTCTTTTTTTCTTTAATCTATTCTACTAATAATTTTTCATCTAATAAAAATTTTATACAACTTTTATTAGTTGATGTAATTTTATTATAAAATATTGTAAATTTCTATTTAATTTTAATTTGTTATTATTAATTAATATCGATATTAAAAGAAAAGGATTCAAAATTATTAATTATTAGAACAATAAAATTTAATATTAAATGTTGTTTCTTCTAATAAAAAAGGATTTTAGTTGATGTAATTTTATTTTTTTATTTCAATTATTTATTATTTGTTAATATTAAATAAATTATTATAATAAAAAATATTTATTGTCCATGAAAAAATAATTAAAAAATTAAAACTTATTATTATTTTAATTTAAAAATGATTGGTACCAATAATGTATTTGTAATTAGCTAGAAAGAAGAGAATAATATACTAGTAATTGTTATATATCTAATTCTTATTCAATCCCAGACAAATTTAGTAAACAACATCAAAAAAATTTTTATTCTGATTCTAGAAAATTTCTAAACCACATTAAATGAGTAATATTTTTCGATTATGATTGATTTGATTATTTTCATTCCGATTCCTAATAAGTAAATAGGTCCTAAGTTAAATAAGTATCTTATGTTAAATCACCAATTAAGCCCAAAAGTCTAAGTTTAATGGGTTATCAATATTAATTTGTGAAAGAAATAAAATTCTGGGAGTTCGAACACATCAATCTCATGCTATGATATCATCTTAAATGACACTTCAACCCAAAAACTTAAGTTAATGAGGTTACAGTAAATTAATCTCTTATCAAATTTAACTTGATAGATCCCCACTTAAACTAGTTATAAGTAAGTAGGTTTCATTAATTTGAACTTTTTTACTATAACCAAACACCAAATTTAATGTAATTGTTGCATGGAGTGAATAACCCTATGTGTGTGTTCTTGGAGGGTGACTTTCAATTTCTTTGAAAAGGGTGTGGTGGGCTATATCTTTTTGTCTTCCACAACAAGACAAATTCTCTCATAAAGAAGATTGAGATCTAGAGAGAGAGAAAAAAATAGAGAGAGGGAGAGAGGTATAGTATAGGGGTGCGTGTTTTGTTGTGTTATTTGAAGCATTTTGCCAATTTTACAATAAGAGAGAGAGAGAAGAAGAGAGAGAGAGAGAGTTGAAAGAAGAGAGGAAGATAAAGAACAACTCACATAGCCAAAAACATCTCTCAAAAAATGTTTGAAGGATCAGTATCTGAGCAGCTTCACCAATTCTTAACTCCAAGAACAACAACAACTCCAACTCCAAATTCCTCCTCTCTCCCTCTTCCCCTCAATTTTGCTCCCAATTTGATCAACTTCCACCATCCCTTTTTTGATTCCTACAACATCACCAACCCTCTTCATCCCCATCTTCTCCATTCTCCAAACCCACCTCACCAAAACAATGGCAGTGGCCACGACGAGGAGAAACCCGACGCAACCCCGACGACAACGGCCACCGAGCTGCACGCTGTCGCCATGGATTTGGAGGCTGGGAGAGACAACAACAACAACACCAACAGATCCATTTTAATGGACGATCATCATCAACAACATCACTGGAGCAATGATGAGCTTCTTGCCCTCCTCAGAATCAGATCTAACATGGACAATTGCTTCCCTGAGTCCACTAATTGGGAACATGTTTCCAGGTATATCATAAAATTTAATGTAATTTTCATTTAATTTCTTTAGGTCTGTCTTCTCTAAGCATCTACTGTACTTTTGGACTAGGGAGAGAGAAATTATTATTATTATTAATTTTTCTTGGGAAGTATGATGGGGTGTGTGAGCTATAATATATATATATATAGTTAAAACAGTAGGAATAAATGCAGGCATATATGTTGGGTTGCATTGAGTATTTTTATTTAATTATGGTGGGTGCAGGAAGTTGGGAGAGGTGGGTTTCAGAAGGACTGCAGACAAGTGCAAAGAGAAATTTGAAGAAGAGAGCAGATACTTCAACCACATTAACTACAACAAAACTTGCAGATTCCTCACTCATGAGCTTAATTATCCTCCTCCTCATCACCATCAAGATCAAGATCGAGATGATCAAGATCACGATCATCACCACCTTCTCTTTCCTGGAGGAGATGAGAAGCCTGACGACCCGAGTGTTGTCGTTGGAGCGCCAGAAGTTGAGGAGGGGGAGGAAGAAAACGGAGCGAATTTCAGGGACAGAGACGAAGAAGGAGAAGATATGAAAATCGAAAGCACGGCGATGAGGAGTAGGAAGAAAAGGCAGAACAGGAAGAGGAGGAGGATGATGAGGCAGAAGGAGTTTGAAATTCTAAAGGAATATTGTGAGGAGATTGTGAAGAAAATGATGGTCCAACAAGAGGAAATTCACTCAAAGCTATTACATGATATGTTGAAGAGGGAAGAAGAGAAGGTGGCTAAAGAGGAATCATGGAAGAAGCAACAAATGGAGAGGCTTCATAGGGAGCTTGAAGTGATGGCCCATGAACAAGCCATGGCAGGTGATAGGCAGGCCACAATCATTGAAATTTTGAACCAAATCACAAATTCAACCCCTTTTTCTTCCTCCCAAGCCAAAAAGGAGCTGCAAAATTTGATCCTAAGTTTGAATAATAACAATACTAATAATGATAATAATGCCACAAATTATAATAATTCCCCTTCTTCCTCTTCCTTAATCCAAACCCAAACCAATTCAAGCCCCAACAAGAACCAAGAAGTTATTGCTAATTTAGCTTCTTCTTCTTCTCTCATGGCTGCTCTCCCACCCCATGAAAATTCAAGCTCATTCACCAGCCAAACTGACCCAAAAAACCCTAAAAACCCTTATTCATTAACCAAAATCCTTGCTCCTCAAGACCCCAATTCACACCCTCCACCAGCTTCCCTTCAAAAGCTCCCCCAAAACCCTAAAACCAGAGATCATAAGGAACTAGATGACTTGGGAAAAAGATGGCCTAGAGATGAAGTGTTGGCTCTAGTAAATGTGAGGTGCAGCCTCTACAACAATGGTGTCTGTGGCGGTGGCGGTGATCAAGATCAGAGTGGTGGCAGTGGCAGTGGCGAGCAAGGGGCGTCATCGAAAGCTCCACTGTGGGAGAGAATATCACAAGGGATGCTTCAATTGGGCTACAAGAGAAGTGCCAAGAGGTGCAAAGAGAAATGGGAGAACATAAACAAGTACTTCAGAAAAACCAAAGATGTCAACAAGAAGAGATCTCTTGACTCTAGAACCTGCCCTTATTTCCACCAACTCAGCAACTTGTACAACCAAGGAGGAGGGATCAAGCGCCTCGAAAACTGCCCGGCTGTGTCCCCGGAAAACCACTCTGACCACTCGGAAAACCTCCCCAATTCCTCTCAAAGAATTGCATGTTGAAGAGTACAGCCAGAAAAAAAAAACAATGTGGCAGACGGTCTTACGCCACTAGAGAGAATTTGAGAACAGTATTTCAAATCTGTATCGGACTGTTATTAGAGGATAAGGGACAGTTATTTTGAATCTACACCAAATGGTAACGATTTAAAAGAGAGATGTAACTTTTCTTCTATCTATTTTTTTTTTAATTTTGTTATTATTATTATTTTTTTGGCGTTTTTGGGAATTTCTGATGAATTTTCTGGAGTTGGGTGTTCATGTGGTTGGTTGTGTTTCTTGAGAAATGGAATCAATCGATGGGAACTAACAGGTAGCTGGGCAGTACATGATTTTAGTTTGAGGCTATCGTCATCTATAATATTTGTTGTTGGAAAATTACTTGTGTACTTTTTCTGAGCACCGACACAGTGTGAGAAATGAGAACCCAAATTTAATTCAACCTATTTTGATTCTTTTCTTCTATTTTAAATATAACTTATGCCCTGGACCTATTAAATTTTGTTTTTTTATTTTATTTGAGTACAATATTGTGGGAGGTGAGGGTACGTGGTCAGAGATAGGTGTCTTAACCACTTGAGCTATGCTCGGTTTGGCGACCTATTAAATTTTGTTAAAGACAAAGGTACCTCAAATATCAATTGGAAGATTGTACCCACACAGCGAGTATATGATATTGTTCGCTTTGGTCATAAGTCTCGTAACTTTGCTTTTAATTTCACCCAAAAAGACATTATATCAACAGAGATCAGAGATGTTGTCCAATTCTTATATATATATACATGATCTTTCTCTTAATTAGCCAACGTGAGACTTTAGTTGCATTTTCCAAACATATATTTTTTACTCAAAAAGCATGAGGTTGGGGATTGAATAAATAAGTGACCTTATTTACTAAGCCAGGCTCGGATGGATAATTAATGAGTAGCTATCAACGTTAACAAGTCTTCAAAGCACTACAGTTAGGTATAAGATTTTGAAATGAATTTGGTTAATTAATAAAATATTAACAATAAGCTAAAAATAATTATTTATAAGAAGTTGATGGACTAAAACTAAACACAATAAAGTTAAGATTAAACCTAATTTTACCTTTATTTTGTAACTTTTGGTCAAGTTTCAAATACAATATAAAGGTTTTTGATAGCAACTTTTTGTAAAGGTTATTTCATTATAAATATTTGTTTTGATTATTTATTTTGAAAGTTGATATGGTAAAGTTGAGAGAAAAAAAACTGTTTAACTTTTAAAATTAAGGATAAAAAACATATTTGGTCCCTATACTTTTGTCAAAGTAACAATTTGGTAAACTTTCAAAAGTAACGATTTAATTCTTTCACTTTAAAATTGGTTATAATTTAGTTTATATCATTAAATATTAGGTTAGATTTAACAGAAATGTGAGGTGGCTGCCAACTATGCTCCACTATATAAATTAAAAAGCCATATATACATAATTATGGGTCGGGATTGGTTTACATTTGGATAGGTTTGTAGTTTAAAAAAGAGAGAGATAGAAAAATAGAGGAACACGCCTCCTCACCCTGCCTTACACTTGAAATTCAGATGATCTTTCTCATTGGATCCATCCGAGGCCTGCTTAGGTATATGGTGCTCAATGGCATAATTAACCCACTCCCTTATTGGCAGCTAACTTTATTTTTCATTCAAACAGGAAGGCTCAAACTACTCGATTATTACTTCCACTTTATTCAATTATCTCTCTCTTTTATGTATGATTCTTTTTTTATTAATTTAGTTAGTTAGAAATGGCGTTCGTTGACGACGCAAATGTGCACCTTCAGATGGGTGGAAATAGCACGACTTGGATGAACACGGCGGTGCCGACGACCTGTTGTAGTTGAAATTGCTAACGACAAGTGTATGAATCAAATTTTAATAAAGTAGTAATTCAATATAGATATCGTCTATAGGATTAGGTTTTGAGATGACTCAAGAACCGCATATACTTTTGCCCAAATTTATTTAGAAAATCAAATTGGAATATTGGAATATTGGAATATGATTAAAGCAAATTAACATAAACTATTAAAAGAATGTAAATTTAATGGGAAGAACGATCCTAGGAAATGAATTTCACCAATTGAATCTATGGACTAATTATTTAACTAATCAAGTCCAAATAGTTTATCAATTCTATAGGTAATAACTCTCAAATCTCAATTATCTCTCCCGAGCGCAAGCTAATTTTTGTTACTAATTAAGAAACCAATATCCCTATCTAGTTTCTATAACAAGTAATGGCTTTATTAAATAAGTCTTTTAACGACCTCTAATTCTAAATCTCCCGATCTTAAAACCCCTTCAGTTATGAATCTCAGTTCTCAAGTCTCAACCACCTCTCCCGAGCATAAGATTGTGAGTCTAAGTTCAATTAATCTGTGGCCAGTAGATTAAAGACATGAAGCAAAGAGAAACATAAATCGAATAAACAAATACCTTCAATCGAGAAAATTAAACAATCAATCTATAAACGTCAATGACTACATCAATCCCTAAGATAAGAGAATTTAGCTACTCATGTTTATGATCAAACTAGCAAAATAAAAGAAAAAGAGACAGAAAGTGAATCCATCATGTTGATTGATTGTCCCCGACTCAATCTCTACGATCGATCTTCAAAATCCGGCTTCTTCCTTGAAATACTCTGCAATTGTCCCTTTCGACTTCCCCCTCCTATTTATCACAAAGGTCCTTATTTAAAGATTTTTTTAAGAAAGTGTTGAGACGCTATGGTTGTGCCCTAAATGCTGGCATGTGCGGATCCTGGAGTCGTAGTGTTGAGATGCTGTAAGTGGCATCTCGACGCTACGAGGTGAAGTGTTAATAAACACACTTTACATCGAAGCGTTGAGACGCTATGGGGTAGTGTCAATGCTACCCTTGCTGGTCAATTGGCTAGGCTTCCTCTTAGAGCGTTGAGATGCTCTAACGCTATCACCTCGGGTCTTTCGTCTCTAAATTATGTTGTGGCGTTCCTTTGATTCATTTGGGCTATTAATTTTCTTTTCATTTTTTTTTTCAATTTGATGTTCTGATTCTTGTTGATAACTTATTTCTACAAAACAACATTTATGAGTGTAAATTTATCATAAAGAAATGGAAACTAATAATTAGTTCCACTATAACGATTATAAAATATAGCTCATATTGGAGGCTATCACTATATCAGAAACTTCGTGAAGAATCACGACCCTATTTTTTGCATCCTCAACGGCTATGTCAGCCTTAGCACTACCATCTTCATAGATCCCTACATCTCCATCTTCTACGATGACCTTGTTAAGGATTCCACATTGGTAAGATAAGAGACCTAACAATGATTTATAGTATAAGTGAGCTATATAGTTCTCTCATTGCCAATTGATTTTGAGATGAAACCTCATGAATATTAATATGGTATTAGAGCCCAAAACGCTCAAATGAGCATCCGATCCAAAATGAAATTCGGGCAAGATCGATGAGTCAAAAGAACCACGATCTTGATGGGGCATGTTAAGGATCCTCCATTGATAAGATAAAAGACCCAACAATGGTTTATAATATAAGTGAGCTACTCCTTCCATTGTCAATTGGTTTTGAGATGGAACCCCATAAATATTAATAACTCATCCTCCTTCCTCCTCATGCTCACCCTCGTCCCCTTCCTCTACGAGATCCCACCCTTTGCGGGCACCACTGCAACTGAAGCCTAAGGGGAGGTGATATGATCATAATTGGTTAAAATCTCCAAGAGTCCACCTACATCAAGAGGAGGAGGATCGAAAGGAGAGACCCCTAAAAAAGAGGAAGCTCCATTTGACCCATGAGAAAAATTTGACAATTTTGAAGAACCAAGAAGGCCTAACAAAATCAAAGAGGAAGAGGGAGCTTGAAGATGAGCGAAGAAATTGATAGTGCCTAAAGAATTTGGGATCCATGTACTCATGGCCTCCCAACTACGCACCAAATTTGGCCGCTAGCTTCACAGCTCACATTACCCTATTATGCTCCCCTACACGCCCAATCGCTTGCTGATCGTGCGCCCACAACTTGCTGCCTAATTCCTGCACGCACCTTTGCTACCTTGCCACCTACGGCCGCGCACGCCCACGCCAGCCTGCTCAGCGCCACAATAACGACCCATTAGTTGTGGCGCCTTGCACCCCGTTAGCCTTCACCGCCCGCATGTGCCTGCCCATTCTGCCTCCCATATGCTTGGCCCACTCCTTAACATTTAAGTAATGATTTTGCCTTAGATTTTATTTGCTTTGTCTTTTGATTTATGAAATATTATCCTTGCTTGATAAGCAAGTTTTCGATTTTAGGGAAGAATTATGCATTTTTTTATTCCTTAGATTTTAATTTTTTTTTGCAAAGGTAAATAAGATATATAAAAACAAGAAAAGCAAAAGGAGGACCTCACAGCCCGAAATCAAGGCAACAAAACAAAACGGTAAAGAGAACAATAGAAATCACGAAAATAAGTCCCAAGCAGCGACAAGCATGGGCTCAGAGCTTCTACAACAACTCCCTGGCCAAGTAGTGCAACGAAAATACACCTCTGCTTTAATAACCCTAAGGAGCACAGACGACGAGCGACCCTGACCACCATGAATACGAAGGTTCCGCTCCCGCCAAAGGAGAGAAACAGTCGAAGTCCAAGCTAACCGTCACACATGCCACCGAGTAGACGACCCAACACTAACATGACAAATCCAAGTAAGCTCAGTAGACCAATATGAAACCCGATGAAACGAACCGGCCCACGAAATCATACCAGCCCAAACCGTTCGACTATAAGGGCAATCAAAAAACAGATGATCCCTAGACTCCAAACCAGCACAAAAAACACAAGTAGCAGGCACCAACGCATTCCACTGGCAAAGACGATCACGCGTAGATAGGCGATCACGAATGGCCAACCAAGAAAGAAACGAATGTTTAGGAATATTCCCACCAAACCAGAAAAATAAGGAACTGGGGG